AATAGCAGCATGCAGCAAAATACCAGATTTATTAGGATCAGCTGACAGTCACTGAATAGTAACTGTCAAAGCGCAGTGTGGTGGTTAGCATGCTGGAATTTGAGTGGAGAGAGCTGAAATTGCATGAGAAAGGGAAAGAAAGGGTAGAAGGGAAACAACAACATGTCTCCAAACAGCATAAGACCATCAGCTCAAGATTTTCCAGGAGTTTCTTTTCCCAGGACCAGAAACCACCAGGGAAAGCATTCTATCTTCAAGTCAACTCAAACAGTTTTTATCTCCACCAGAAGCAGGTCCTTTGTAAATCTAAGACCAAGCTGCCTGCAGACAGTTAGCATTATGACAACCATAGCGTATCCCTGAGTTGCTGAGGCAATACAGAGTTACTGGGATCCATTGCCCGCCCTCTTGCAGTCCTTACTGTGAGGACTGTAGCTCGGCTCCCAGGGAACCCTGAGGGGGTGGTTTATGATGTCATCATCCCCATTAGTTTGACTCGAGAGCCCTGGCTCCACTACATCACCAATCTAGAGAGTACATGAAGAACTGTAGCTTCCACTGCTTCCTCTGCCTCAATTTCACCAGCCTGGAAACCAAGATGCAGTGGCAGCTTCTCACACACCTCCCAGAGCTGCCCTACTGCAACCGTCCTCATGCCGCAACGATCACAGGAGAAGAGTGCTGGTTTCTTGATATGCAGGGTGCATGCATACACCTGAGACTGCGAGGTTGAGATTTGTCCCCTGTGCAATATTTCAAAAGTCCTTCTCATTTACCCAGGTGACCCAAAGCAGCAGCAGAAGTGGTGCAGGTCTTGGAAGAAAGAGAAAAGGTATGATGCTACCCTTCCCATCTCCTTTCAGAAGACAGTCAGGGCACATTGAAAAATAAAGGCAACTGCTGAACCAATTCAACAGGACAGAACATCTTCATCTCATGATCACTGAAGCAAGAAAGGCTAGCCAAATGGATATTTAATCTTCACTTTTCAGCTGCCCCATATCCGGGGGTGGGGCACATGGAGAATACCGGCCAATCCATTTGGAGCAACTGGGAGGACAACAGTATGTCTGGAACATGACCATGAAAAGTGCAATCTACTAAACACTCCTGGGAGAGAGGAATGAAGAGGAAGCTGCCTTTGTTACGCTAAGTGGGCTGCTTAAATACACCACTAAAGATCGATTGAGTCAATAAGAGCCTGTAATTAGAAAGTCTGAGGCCATTCCACTGCACCTCTCCAAGACAGTGCTATAAATGAGCTGATTTGTCAACGTCAAGCAAAGCTTGTTCTGTCACAAACAACCAGAACCAATATCCTTAAAAACACATGCTTGAAAAGTTCCCACATCCTTGTCTAGACCAGAAACCAAGAGAGATGCAGCTCCAAGGTAGGGGACAGAAGGAGACCAAGTGAGTAAAATTTGTTGAAGAATGTGCCTTGTGCCCCCCAAAGTATCTCCACAGGAAATTACTTTGGATCTGCTGAGGCTTGGCAGAAGATATTCTACCTCTACCAACAAGCACAACTCTAAAGAAAAAGTACTAGTTGAGGTGTTTATACAACCGAATGTATAACTAAATGCTTTAAGCAAGTCATATTCCCCATTTAGCCTTGGTATGGCCACAAAATCCACAGGTTAAGAAGCATTCATCAGAGGATTTTTGTTGGGGGCAGAGGAAAGAAAGATGACCATAAGGGGCATGAGAGAAGTCTACCATATGAGGGCTATACAGAGAGAAAAATACTAAAAACCAAAGATCAGAACTGCAATTTACTCAGAATGGAGAGGAAAAGAGTTTACTTTTTAAACAGTGGAATTGCTTGGAAGTGTTGAAAATAGCCACTGGTTAAGATGGCTTAACTCAGACAGCAGCCTTCCCAAACTTATTTTCCAGATGTTGTTAGAATACAACCCCATACTGCCCAACTACATGCTGTAGTTCAACCTCCAGATACCAATTATTGGGAATGATTAGGTTTATCAGAAACTATTAGCCATGATGGCCAAGTGAATCCTCCATGTGCAGAAGTAGAATAAAACTCAGCATGAGGGTGAGTCGTTATTCCTGATTCAGGATGGCCACTGCTTGGAAAAAGAACAGATTAACATTTGGTCTGATCTGCTAAGGAAGTTCTTACAATCATAGGGTAAATTCTTTTTATACTGTGTCCAATTGTTTCTGAAGCATTTGGTGGAAATCATTGGAAAAATTCCTACTGAACCTAATGTAGCCACAATTCACATGGGACAACTGTTAGACTCCATCCAGTACACTATGTGACTCATGTCCCAGAATCTTTTACAACATGCAGACAAATCTCAGTAGCAAGGGTTCCTTCAAGGCTCAATGTCTGAAATTCTTCTATAAGAGACCCTAATAATCAACAGAGTTTGACTAGATTTGTTAATAACACTGATTTCTCATACATCCTCGACTTTCAGTTACCTTCCCATCATAAGTCAGTGTGGTGTAGTGTTTTAGAGCATGGGACAAGGCATCAGGCAATCCGGGTTCTAGTCCTCACTCAGCCATGTAGTGACTTTGGGCCAGTCACAGACTCTCAGCCCACCCTACCTCACAGTGCTGTTGTTGTAGGGATTTGACTGAGAGCAGGAAGATGTCGAGGCATGCAGCCCGGTATGTAAACAATCCACACATTCTAGAGCAGGGGTCTCAAACTCAACTTACCTGGGGGCCGCTGGAAGTAGAGTCTGGGTGAGGCTGGGCCACATCAAGTATTCCACCACCGCGGTGGGGGTGGGCTGCTCATCTGGAGGCCGGCCCGGGCGCCGCCAGCACTTTGAAGGCCACAGGGCCCCTCCCCCATACCCCGCCCCTCCCGGCAATTGGCCCGCAGGCCGCGAGTTTGAGACCCCTGTACTAGAGCAATAAAACTAAAGTCCTTTAATGCTAATTGTCTACAAGATTTACAACTCTATAGATAAGTTCCCTAATAGCGGTCCTTGCTAAGCAGATGTTAACTTCTAATGGCTTCTCTTCCCAAGCCCACGTGGGATCAATCTCCCAAGTCACGCCTTTCCTCCCTCTTACATAATAAACTTTGCCGCTGTTCATATCTGCGTAAAATACGTCTGTTTTTGGCTTTTGAGAAATCCACGACACCTATTGTGTCTTCTGCTTCCGGCTCAGGGAGATCAGCATCAGAGGGGGAAGAGGCAGTTTGCTCTGCCTCCTTCTGAGTAGAACGTGCAGCTTCCTCTTTCTCATGACTCTCTGTCTCTGATAAAGGTCCAGGCGTTTGCTCAACGTGCTGGGGGTCAGAGGAAGAAGCAGCAGCAGGCTCAGCTGTCCCTGCGTTGGGCTGTGGGGTCCACTCTTGGGCGCTGGGTGTCAAGTGCAAGGTCTCCTCATGAGTCACTGTTTCTGTCGGGGCTTCATGCACGACAGAGGAAGAGAATGATGTAAGCCACTATGAATTTGTTGTAAGAAAAAAAAGCAGGATATAAACCTAGTAAATAAATAAATAAGACAGCCCAAGTCCAGTTCCTGCACTGTCCCCCAGACAGAATGACTTTATTGTCCCTTTCGATCATTTCCTAGGCACAATTTAGAAGATGCACTGGATGCCCTTTCTGACTCCCAACAGCACATTGTATTTCATTACGGAACTCATCAAAAAGGATGCCATAACCAATATACATATTTCCTTTTGCCTTCAGACGACATTGTTGATTGCAACAAAAAGTAATGCTTTTTTCAGTTTCTTCCACTGAAAGTGAAATGTACTAACTAGCACTTCCCACCCAAACAAATCAAACAAAAGAATGGGAACACTCCTATTAGTGTGGACAATGGAAAATGTTTGGCAGCTCAAACCCAGACTTCATGAACTATTCAGATTCAACTGCTGCAACAAATTGGGTGAATTCACACACACACACACACACACACACACAAGTACAAGAGGAAAAAGGCGTTGAATATGTAATATGCAGCACATCCTGATCTCAAATTATATCTTCCATTCAAATGTAAAAGCCCAAAGGCAGCTTCTTTCCAAGCTCTCTGAAAAACCCATTTACCATAAATACTCAATTCAACAGTCAGTTTTATCTGTTGGGTAAAAAGCCTGGCTGGCTTTGTGACTTCCCATATTATAAAAGACAGTCACTCACTCCAATCCAGCAAGGATGATTGTGCAGCAAAGCCAGCTCTGCCTTCACATGCCCTATGACCATGGGGAACCTTGTTCACAAATCACAGCCACATGTACAGTTCCCAACTGCTGCACAAAGAACCACAACCCTGGTCAAGAAGGCTGCCCTCAAATCCAGATATCTCGCAGTCTTCTTGATCAACCAGGAGGTGCTTGCATCCAAGGCAGGAATGTGGGAGCTCAGGATCAATTTTCACCTCCCACAGACTGCCCTGGGAAGGAAAATACATGAAAAAGAACAAGACCAAGTATTGCAGTTTGTTACCAAAAGACAGGAACAAGTCACTGCACGGTGCTCAATAGAGCTAGAAGGGATAAATTTTAGTCTCTGCAACAGCTACCAAGTGCTCAAAGGATCAACAGCAAGTTGAATTTGGCCCTTTCAGCATTACAAAGCCTCTATAAAGCACCCTTTAATTAAAAAAATAAAATTGGGGATGGCGGGAGGCAGCAGGGGCGAATGTGAGGGCATGACGAAGCCTGCATGTTGCCCATCCCTAAAGCATAAACAGCTACATGATTTCTGATTGCTTTGGGAACCAGTGAACTAGCAGTGAATCAATCCCACAAGCAGAATGGGATGAACAGAAGCACCACATGAAGCCATATTAGAAAGTATATATGAACTTCTATAATTAAAGAATAGCAAATATTTAGGTAGATACTATATAGATATTGCTGTTCACCATTCAAGCAAGCACAAAGGAATCCAAAGAAATACAAGGAGATCGGTCAGTCTGAGAGCATCACCCCATGACTAGCCAGCAGAGTTAGAATTGTTGCGTTCCCAACTCTGAACAATAATTTAGTAACTCACCTTCAAGAGTTCCTTTGGGAAATCTTTTCCTTCATTCATGCCCTGAAGGTTGGCAATGAATTCTTGGCATGACATCTTTTTGCCAATGTTCTGAAATATACGTGACACAGACATATAAATGCAAAATATCAGCGGAAGCCAAGGCTGTTGTTATTTAAAAGTATTCTGTTGAAATATGTTAAAAACATTTCCCCTCTTGAATGAAAAACTAACTTGTGAGCAGCAGTCCCAGTATTAGAGACATTCTTCTGGAAGCATGTCTGCATGAATGCAGCTATGAATTACAAATGCATATAAACAGGCTCTTCTCTGGGGAAGGAAGTAGGAAAACAGTGGGTAGGTGCTCCTATAAGGATAATGGTGGCAATGAATCTTAGCAATTGCACAGGCTTTTCAATCATGACTTTCAAAATGCTTTCAGGAACTGGATGGCATTCCAAAAACTTGCTGCAAGGACTTGCTGCAAACAAAAGCTCAAATCATTTTACCCAGAGTGACTGAAATCAACAAGCTGAAAAGAAAGTTACAAACTCTCACCAAAATGCAGAACTTGTCTTTCCAAAAAAGAAAAGCACCAAAATGTGGGGGTGTGAGGAAGAAGGGGGGAAATAGAAGCTTTTTCATTTACATTTATATAAGGCTTCCTTTTCAACTACTCTTTTACAGCCAGTGAGAACTACTCTCAACTGAAGTTGAGAGACACAGTGACCCATGGAATCAGGAACTCCCTTTTTCCTCAGAGTAAATTCCCCATTCCTGCCTTAACTACAATTAAGTGTTTCATCAACAGCAAACATTTTAAAGTTAATTAAGCTTCCTCTTTAACCAAGCTGGTTCCAAAATTGAAGTGGAAATCATGAACTTTCTTCACAAATATTACCCTGTAATTCAAGCATTGATCCCATGCGATTGATGGTGCATTATAGCCTATAAAAAGCATCAATTTCTTTTTTTTAAAAGGAAAAGCTGTATACAAATGTTATAAATAAAATATATAAACATCAAAAATAAAGGTGGGGGGTTTTTAATAAAATCCTGCCACATGCTTACAGGTTGAAGCACTGTTATATAGTTAGGAAACAGATAATAATGGTTAAATGCATTCCAAGCTATGGCTACATTCCAAGCAATAAATGCTGAACTTACCACCTAGAAAAACAGTGCAATACAAAAAGAAATGATAATAATAATAAATTCATTAGAACAAGCACTCCAAAGGGAAGAAAGAGACATAAGAGATGAAAAATTTTATTTCATGACATTGCAATTGGAGCTATGCATTCTTTTCACTTAACCAAAACATGGTGGCAAGAAAATATATATAATTCATCTTCAAAGCCACCTAAAAATGTTTGCGTTCAAGTCTCCATTTATGCATCTATCAGACTTCCTCCATTACCTGAATTACGGCTGTACACATCTCAAATTTCAACAGTTTGTACCCAGTTTTATGCAAGCAAAAATCCACTCTGACAACAGGGAAAATTTTCTGCCCTCCATCTCCCCTTTGAAGTCTGCTGGGCTCCCCAGAAGGACCAGGGGACCCTCAGAAAAGGCCTAGAATTTGGCACAGAGGCTGCAGCAGGAAAGTAGAATGGCTAAAAACCAGGCAGAGGCAGTTTGCATGAGCAACTACAGGAGTAGCTCATTCACCAAAGCCAAATTAATGAAAAATTACTCACCTTCAAAAATATTTGTGATTTGATGCTCCTCTGTGCCTTTTTGTTCACCTAGCAGCAGCAGCTACTTCTCAGCACTGTTTACTCCCTTCTTCTTTGCTGCCTTCAGTCTCCTCGACCTCATTGCTCACATGGCTGTTTAACCCTATTGGCTGTGGCACCCTATGTGATCTTGGTTTATAAGCACCTGCGATACCATCACATCAGAAGTACAGCATGACATCAAAGACAAAAGTAACATGGGTTGCCGCAGCCGACAGAATTAAATGGGAGGATGGGCAAATGAGATAGAGGACAGTGAGGGAAACAGAAGATGGCGGAAAACTATACTGAGAATGACAACTTTGGAGAAATGGAAACATACTTGCAATGTTTGCAAAACCTTGCCTCAAAATCAGAAGGACCTTGCTGGTACATGTGGAAATAAACAAGAGATTAGGGAAGTAGTTGAACTTAACTACAACCTGATAAAACAACACACTGAAGATTGCAGCCTGGCCTCCTACCTCCCCTTGAGCCAATCACGCAAAGCTTAATGGGGTGCTGTGCTTTCTGATCAGTGATAACCCCCTTTAGTCACATTTGGGGTACATGCAAACACCCAGATAGCAGTTTGTACACTGATCTCATCAGTCAGGAGCACTGAAGAAAACATTGCTTATCTCTTCTCTGCCACCTAGTGCTCATACATTAGCCCACACTGCAATAAGGCAACAGGTAAAATTACTACTCTGTACTCAGACTATATGTAAACAATTTTCCCCCTAAAAGGAGGAGCATCTGGTCCCTAGCCTCTATCATGATGCCAGCACTGATCTAGGATTGAAGGAATAGTAAGTTACAGACCTAACAAAGCAGGATTTCACTCCTGTTGGAAAAGGCCACTCTCCATTTTCTTACCTGCAACCCTTTGCGTGTAAATCAGCAAGGTGAAGTGTATTAAACCAAAGAGCATGCAATTTTTGCTCTAGTTAATTTCAACTCTATCAGTGGGACACTACTCAAAGGGAAGAGATAGCCTTGGACATTTTTAATGACATATGAATATATACTTTAAAAGAAAAAAACATTATTATTTAAAGCTGATCACGACATAGGGAGGAAGTTTGCATGAGTACCCAGAGTAACTATTTGGGAGGTGCCAAACTCAGTCACAACAGAACTTCTACAATCACACTTCTGTAAATTTGTGACATCATTCCAAGAGTGCAGGCAGACCCCAACTTATGAAGGTTTGTACCTGTACAACCTGTACTTATGAATGAACTGCCATAAAGCCTGTAAATTAAAAAAAATTACTGTGGAAAATCTTCATCACCACAGAGAAAGAGGAAGTGAAAGGGAAGTGAGGGAAGGCCTCCAAAGCATCACCATAGAGAAAGAGAAAGCAAAAGGATAGAAAGGGAGCTCTCCAAAGCATACCTTTCTGCCCCATCCATCTTCTTGCAAATTGGAGGCACTGGTGACCTCCCAACCTTGGGGGATGGATAGGTAGAGATATTTCCAGTTTTTCCACTTTCAGGGGGGTCCTGTGCCCTTAACCCCCACAAATGTGGAAGACCAACTATAAGTGATCCAACTTATATACAAAATTTGACCTAAAGACAAATTTCCATTTTCTCAGGAACAGAACTCATTCATAATCCAGGGACTTCCTGTATACCGCAAAGCTCAACAAAACAGGTCTGAGTGAGAATTTGGCAGGATGGGATGCATGCCTGTGTGATTTGTAGCTTGGGCAAGAATTCAACAGCCCTGTGAAATTACTGTCTCTATATATCTTCCTTCTGTGCATGCAGTGTAACAGAGCTACCAGGCATTCAGGTTCCACTGTCTAGAAAAGGGAACTGCAGAAACTTTAGGATGTGAAACAGACCAATGTCAGCCTAAGCAAAGAAGTCATATGATCCAATTCTAATCCTCTTTTTGCCACAGATATTTTGGATTACAGCTCTCAGAATTCCTAACCACTGCCCATGATTGCTGGGATTGATGGGAGTTAAAGTTCAAAACATCTGGGCAGCACCAGGTTGAGGAAGGCTGTCACACAGCTCTTAGGGACTCCAACAATCTCTTAATCTGGGCAAACTGCTGCTGAAGTTTGATCCTATACACTTGCATGGCTGTCCAGCAACCTGTTATATGCTGTTTCCTTGCCATGCTTGCTTCCAGGGTTGCCCCTGATTTCCTGCGCACTGGGCTACAATTGTGGTGTTGAATCCATGCCTGTCCCACAAACTCTTCAACCACCCTCCCACCTCTACTTAGGTCACCTGGCCCTTTTTAGCTTCTAGAAGGCTGCAATAATGTCAGGTGGTGAGCAGCTCTGAAGAGCAACAAATGGAATTGAAAGAATCTCTATGAAAACAGCAAGTTTGCCGCATACTTACATGGCCATGGAGGTCAGTGTTAAGCAGCATTATTGCACACGTGAGGCAATGGACTCCATCTGCGGGATGAAAAACAGCTCAGGCATTCCATACAGAAAGCCACATGGTAAAGAGAAAGAAAATCACACTTCCCACTACTCACATCTGTTTGTGAAAGTATGATTCAAGTTAAGCTGGGACCCCCTGCAGTCTATTTAACACTCTCTTTTTTCTTCATTTGTTTATCAAGAAATGCATGACAGCTATTATAGTCAGTGAAGTCACTGGAGTGAGGGAGAGCTTGAAAGAAAAGCCTCATGGATGTCAACAGCTTGCATAACTTCAGCCACCGAAAACTGTTTTCCCAAAGGTTCTCATCTTAGTCTTTACAACCTGATCTGCAACCTTAAGCCAATGGATTTAACTAAGTCAAGTCTCACCAAAGTCACTGTCTACATGTCTAGACTGGCCCAGGTTTAAAAGCTTGCTCCTTCTCACAAGCTGAAGAACACTTCCATCAACATTCTTCGCTGTGAGGGCCAAGGGCCACAGGCAGCTCCAAGTCATCCAAAGTGTGGCACTCAGCACCTCTCATTCACTGACTGGGTTCACAGGACATGCTGAACTACAGTGGCAAAAATGGTTGCCACTCTGCTTTGGATGTGCATCAATGAGAGCCTCCAACGAAGTGCCCAAGTGGCACTCCAGGACAGCTGTTACAGGCTCCCCAAAAGGATGGGGTGGAGTGAGCCATAATCTGCTCAGCCTACTCTGAAGTAAGCCAAGCAGAACCAAGTTCCACTTCCCCATCTGGTGCCACCACAGCCAGCCGCTGAGAGGGCAGCCAGCCATGGCAGCATGGCGGTAACCTGCGCTCTGCTCAGCCTTCACTAGAGGTGGTCAAGTCGACACCTTGGCAACCCCGGTCACCTGATGTGGGGGCACATTCTGCTCACCCACCCCTCTGTGAGCTGTCAGCAGTGGCAGGGAACAAGGTCCTGCATCCCCCCGCCTTTCCAGCACTGCTGTGAAGTGATGGTGGCAGCAGAGGAACCTCAAGTGCTCCCGCGGTGTCTCCTGGAATACCTGTGGGATAACCAAGGTGGGAGGAGGACCCCTCAGTTGTCTGTCAGGTACATCAGGGATGGGATGGCTTATAAGCCACTGTCTAGCTTTCTACACAGTGTGGCTTACCAAGTTGTGCAAATCCTCCCACTCTCTGTCTGTCTCTGCAGAAGCTGCTCACTCACAGCAGGGTCTGTTGAGCTTTGTCTTTTTGTTTGCTTTAATGCTAAGATTGTTGCCATGTCATGGGCTACCAGAGGAAGCTTTGGCATCCTTAGGTGTAAAATGCAGGGATGGGAGGAAGGAAGAGAATGAGGACGGATCAACCATGGTGAAGGATAGAGGAAGACTCAGAGAGCTCCATGATTCATGAGCTGCAGTGACTCACAATGCAGGTGCTAGAGGGGGAACTGAAAATACAAAAGGGAGGGGGAGGAAGGGAGAGCAAATATACCATGGATCCATGCTAGGAGATGTGGCAGCACTGAACAATGAGAAAAAGAACCACTCCAGTCCAAGGACTAAGAATGCAGCCTCTGCTTGGATAATGCAGAGGGGGTGGAGAGATGAGAATGTTTGTAAGCCTGCAGCCAGGTCAACAGCACAGTGTTAAACACCTGAATGGGAGGCAGGGAGAGGAGAACCTTCCCTCTACAGCCCAGGAAAGGTACCCAAAGGGCCTCAGCGGCAGGACCCTGAGCCAAAGTAGCTCCTACTTGCAGAAATGCTGGCACCTCACCTGACCCCTATCCCTTGCCTTCAACTCCCTCCTCAAAGCTGACCTTGTCCATTAAGCCTTCGGTTTAACCCCTTAATCCTTATTCCTCCAACAGAAACTAAGTTCAAGTAGATAACCGCTGCACTTGTTCATCCTGTTATTGCTGCCTCTACTTTTTCTGCTCCTGTCTTATTTCCCCATAATCAACGTTCACACTGGATGATGCTCAAGGCCGGGACTGGTCCTTTTCGCTTATGAAACTCTGTAACCACGCATGGATGAAACATGATGAAGACAACTGTGATGATGGAACCTGCTTTGCTTAGGCAGCTCGGCTGTTTCAGGAGGCTCACAGGCAGGTCATCATACTGACAGACATCCCATGGAGTTCACTCCCAACAAGCACTAGTCCAGGCCAGACTGCCTCTGGACATCCACTGCCAAGATGTGTTATTAAGCTTGTAAATATTATCTTCAGGAATGAATTCAACTACTGGCCAGGAAAAAGTCTAAGAGCACCTAATACTGTAGCACATGTGATACTAAGGAAGTCTGGATGTCATCAGTCCCTGGATGAAAATCCAGGGAAAACCCCATGGCAGCTCTTCTGGGCTCACTAAAGGAAAAGCAGCATGTGATGGTAATGCTAATGCAAGCCAGGCTTCCACGTCGCAGTGGCCACAGAGACTGGCAGCCTCTCTGCAAATTGTTGCCATCACCGCATTGTTCTGCAGCATGTCACTGCCAGCTACACCACCAGGTGGAGACTGTAACATATACAGACTGGCTACGAGTGCCACAAACACAACAAAGAATGGAATGGAGGGGTCAGGAATCAGCACAGAAAGCTGGAATGGGTAGAAAGCTGATCTCCAGAAGCTTTGGACTTCAACTCCCAACATTCTTAACCATTAGCCTTACTGGCAGGGGTTTCTGGGAGTTGAAGTGCTAAACATCTGGCAATCTACTTTCCTGCCCAGTCCTGCAAGAAATGAGGATGTAGAAGACAGTCAGGGTGGAAGCAGGAGATCAGAATGGCTCAGAAAAGGCTTAGATGACACAGTGGGCTGCTTTCCATGACATGAGGGTGGCTAATAAATAATAACCCTTGCCGTGAGTGGCATGTCATGATGTCTAAACTCAATGAGGGTGAGAGATTGCAGTGTACCTTTTGCACTGTACCATTTTTTTCTCCCAGAGCATGAATGGCTGACATTTGCAATCTCCATTCTGACAGCTACTGAAAGGCTCTTCAGAGTGCTCAACTATCACCATGAAGAGGTTGTTAAAAAAAAAAACTTGTATGCAAAATGTGTGCACATAGGTTTGTTCTTCGGGGGGGGGGGGGTTACTCATCTGGGAATTTGTACACTCTGCTGGGGCAATGTCTTGAGACACACCTGCTGCCCAAGCACAGCAGGTACCAACCTGAGATACTGCCCCAAAGTGGATGCAAACAGGTTTTTTATCCTTTGTTTTCTCTTGACAATTTGTGAAAAGGCAAGCTGCCAAGAGAAAGCAAAGGCACAAGCATCTTTGTTCACAAAAAAGGGCTGCTGTGGCTGCACCCCTTCACAGCAAGATCCTTAGCCCTTTTTCCGACTGTCCACAGATTGGTGCACATTTTAGACCTTTGCCCAAGATACTAGGAGTTCAAGAAAGTTCAAAAGTGCTTAACTCCCTTTTCTTTACAAAAGGAATTTTGACAGCTTTGAGGATTCCCTTTAAAAGAAGTTTTAACAGGGACATATGGCTGTGTGTGCCTGGTCAACAACCAACCTGCTGTGGCTTATTGCTGGGATTGGTTGGCATGATGTGCAAACATGCCCAGTGGGTTATATTCTTGTTCATAGCAGGCTGACTTTTCTTAAGATCACAACCTGATGCAATTTCCTCAGTGTGGTTTGTTAACCATGCACAAGCCACTGTGAGAATCCATGGCCTGTAACGGGATTCTTCAAAGTGGATTGTTTTCAGAGTTGTTCTTTATGAAGTAAGAATCCAACATGATGGTTTGTTCATGGCTTGCTGGAAAGCGCTACAGAACGGCCTGGTAAGAGCAGTGAAAACCTGGTCACTCCTCACAATCTTGTTAATGGGATCTCTTTTCTATTATCACAGAATAATCCAGCAATTAGCTCTTTCTGCAAGCAAGGATTACTTGTGGCTTTGATTTCTCCTGACAGTTTGCTTTCTGTCAAGACAAACCCAAGTCTTGTCAGTCATTCCCAGACAATGTCCACGAGAGTTTTCTGCTGTATTCCGACAACAGACACACCCTTGGCCTTTGCCCAGGTGAAGCAGACAATTTCAGATCTCTGAGAGTGTGCAAACCCAACCAGAAATATCTTTTAAAAAACCAAATATATTGTGCATGCATGTCTTCTTTAAAGTGAATGACAAACCAGTGACAGCCTCTCCAATATGTCACCTAGCCATTCTGGAGAGATTGCCACTAGGTGTTAAACTGAAGATCACTTTTTGTAATCTCCAAAATGGGGCCGAAGGGGGGATTAAAAGGAACAAAATGATATCACAGTAAGTCCAAAAAGATTCATGATCACAGTGAGGGGAAGGCAGATGAGTTCACCCTGATGTGGGTTATCTTGCGTACTCACAGGAGACTGAGGGGGAGCACTGTGGGCTGCTTGCACAACCACCAGTTCAAGGTGGCTTATTGCTGGGGGCGGGGGCTTGGCATGGCACACACATGCACCTAGAACATTTAGTATTTCTATAGTGCTCTGGAGTGCTCATTTTTATCTCGGCGGATCTTGTGAACCAGGCCAGTGTTATTATCCAGACATCAGAGAGACAGTGGCTACCTATCTCTTTAAAAAGAGGCAAAATTTTAATGTGGTTCTGAGCTCATTCTCAGGACAATATCAAAGACCTACTTGTAAGCATGGGTTTGTGCCATTAATCTCCTAGAAAACAAAGGAAACTGAAAAAGCTGCAGCTGAAAAAGCTAGAAAACCTGATGCTCTTTTCCCTATAGTCCTGTCCTCCAGCAGCATTTTGCTGTTCTCTAAACAGATCTTGCTGGGAATGCTACTCTCAGGAGAGGAGCCCTGGGAAAAATGCCACTGGCAACAGGAGCATTCTCACCTGGCCTCTGCTTCAGCCCTTTAAATGGCCTTGTCCACCAAGAGAGGGACGTACTCTTCCAGTCATGTGTAACAACATGGCCAAGAATATGGAGAACATCCTTCTTCTCCAACACAGCATTTAACATCACTCCTAACACATTCCTGAGCAAGAAAACGAATTGTATTTTCTACCTTGGCTGTTCTTTACAAGCGAAGTTTCCCTGATTACACTTCCAGTCTTAACTGATTGGACCACAAAGAACTAGAATGCTTCTTTAAAAATCATAAGAGTGCATCTGGACCAATTAATTCCTGTGTAAGATCATGGCCTCAAACTCAGCACAAAAACTGCTCTATGCTTTTGGTACACACTTTAGATTTATTCATCTCTTCTTGGATCTGCCAACTTTTTATGTTTATGTTTCTATTACGATGTAGCTCTATTTTTCTACTGTTGTTAGCAGCCTCAGAAGCTGAATAAAGGTGGGATAGATTTTTTTTACCAATAATAAAAGTAAAATTACCTTGCGTGGAAATGGCATTTGGATTGCACTGGTAGTATCTGTTGGAAAAATGAACTAAAACTCTCTCTCTTTCCTGAGTTTCACCAATGAGGGAAAAGGCTTTAAAGAATGTCCTAAAAACAAATGGAAAGAGGGAAAACACACAGTTAAGCTTTACCTTTGAAGATGTGTCTGCTAAGGCTCAAAATGACGGACAGCTTTTTCAGAGAGTTGATGACAGCTTGAAAGATCAGCCACTGATAATTGGCATATACTCAACCCACTTTTATCCCTGGTCTAACAGGTATCTGCAGGTTTTGGAAATGCTTCAAAACCCACAAAAGCTGTTTGGCCAGAAGCAACCGTGAAATAAAAAGTATTGTATGTACCAGAAATGCTGTATCTCTTTTTTCAGATTGTGCTGCTAATCTATAAACAAGTTTCAATTCTCAATGTATTAAAAAACAACAAAAAGAAATGGGGAAAGTACAAGCCTTTAGCAAGGTGAGAAAAAAAGAAACTTATGCTATAATTTTTGAGGAGAAGAAATCTGGGGAAAAGGGGAAATTTGGGAGACTTGCTGTGATTGCTCTTCTTCGGAATGTGGTGACATCCTGAACTTGTGCACGACAAGCTAGCCACTGAACTTCTTTAAGTCAGTCTTCTAAGAGAGAGAACACATCCCAAAAATACACATGGCTAAAGCTAGCAGCTGTGTAGTGGGGTTTTTTAAATGATGCAGCTGTCAGGTTCTTTCATTTTTTCAGTCCTCCCTTCTAACTTGCCCTATATATCTTTCATAGCATTGTTATTTGTTCTCCCTCTCAGTCTCTAGATCAGATAACTGCATGACCAGCATTTTACAAATTCTTTAAAAACATACACCAACACACGCCACCTCTAGCGGGATTGATGAAGGAGTTTCAAATGTTTCTAGTCTCATAAGAAAAATACAAAATCAAAAATGTGGAAATTGTAGGCCTGTCCATGCCTATTTTGAAGGACACATGTTTAATACAAATGGAACAACAGGATCATACCTTTCCTGTTCCAAATCTAGGTCATATCTGATCATATCTCCAACACCCAGCTCATTTAAGTAGTTAATAAGCAGGGAAGAACTGTACCTTGGTGGTACAAGCTACAGGGTGAATCTCTGACACCTCCAAATAGCAGGATCTAGCTGTAGGGGATGGAAAAGCCCTTTGCCTCAGACCCTGGGGAACCACTGCTTCCAGACAGAGTGGACAAAACTAGGCTTGATGGAAAAATCCCTCCTGACCTCATACAGTGGTACCTTGGCTCACAAACTTAATCCGTTCCACGACTCTGGTCATGACCCAAGTCAAATTTCCCCATAAGTTTCAATGTAAATAAGGTTAATCCATTCTGTAACAATTTTTTTTATCACAAAAATTTGAAACGAAGTGACAAAGAAAAACAAAGTTCACGGCCATCTCCCCCCACCTGAGCACGACCACAATCGCGGCCATCTCCCTCCTCCCCTGAGCACGACTGTGATCATGCCCATCTTCCCTGCACGAGCATGACCGCAATCGTGCCCATACACGGGCGCAATCACGGTCGTGTTTGTGCAGGGAAGATGGGCGTGCTTGCAGCCATCTCCCCACCCCCAAGCGCAATCATGGCCATCTCCCCCCACCGAGCATGAACACGCCCGTCTTCCCCTTCCCTGAATGAGCATGACCGCGATCGTGGCCATCTCCCCACCCTAATCCAAGCATGATCTCAGCCATCTCCCCTCTTCACCCAATGCGAAGTTTGCGACCTGAGGCAAATTTTTTCAGAAATTTCTGTTCGCAGCCCGATTTGGTCGTGAACTGAGGTGTTCGTGAGCCGAGGTATGACTGTATATGGCAACCACCTATGGCCCAGAGTTCACAACATATTGACTAACAGCATGAAATCTTTGTTCACCTCATCCCTGGCTTAGATCAAACGCTAGTATACATCCTATTCCATGTATGTAGCAGAAACAGGCTTAGGGCAGAGTGGGAAACTGTAAACCAGGTTTAGTGCTCGGAAGGGACAGTCTTACTGCCCTACCACTGGTGCATCTTATGATATGCACATATAGATAAGACACAAGACCAAAAATAAAAAAAGACATTTAGGAAATGACTTCATACCTGAGAGAGTGATCCAAAGACATGCCGGTGAAGTCAAAGAACTTGAGGTATTCCTCAGCTACAAGTTTGCTGAACTCATTGCTTAAAAGGCAAGACAGAAAGAAAAGGCAACAAGTCATGTTATTAGAAAGTGAGCTTGTACAGGTTCTTATGATTATGCAGATGCAGTATGAATGCCCTTTTAGATAGAGAGCCAGAACATACTTTTTCCCCAAGTGCTTTGCTACATCGGAACGCTTGAATCTGTCCAGATGATAAAGACGTTTTGCCAGCCTGCAGGCCGCTTCCACATTGCCACTGGTGGTTCCATTGATAAAATCATGGTTCAAGTTTTCATGCCCCTCCTTTTCCAGAAAATCGCTGGTTCCCATGTCCCCTGTGGCATCTAGTGGTGCTGTGCATTCCAGTCTTGCATTGCTATGAAACAAACACAAATAACATGGAAATGGGGTGGGAGAAGAAAGGCAGGGGAAAATATTAATGTTTTTCAAGGAAGAATCCTTTTTGATACCAAAGGAAAGAAATGATACAATAAACACAATCATACAATCTTGTTTATCATTTCTTCATTGAAATCATATAATAAATAAAGAAATCCACCAGAAGTTTCTCTAGAAATTCCTCTAAGTCAGTGAGACACAAATCCCATTCTGCTTCAATGAGGTTTGCTTAGGAGAGCTTCCTGATAGCTTCAAACAAACTGCTTTACCACTCTTGGGGCACATACTAAGAAGCACAACAGCTCTGCTATCTTGTATCACACACAAATGCAATGGGAGGAGGAGGAATTGGAAAGGGGATCTATGAAGGGAAATGGCCCTTTAATGTTTTGTTTGCTCGTTTGTTTCTGTCCAATAGCTGGTGCAATGGAGTGGAGATTTCAAAAGTAATTTGCAGCTCCTTCTTGAAAGAGAAAGCAAACCTCCTTTCCCATGCTGACCTTTGCAGGCATAAACACCATTGAAGGCAATGTGCTTTACTTCTGAGTAGATATGTTCATTGGGCAATTTTCAAATTAATTGTTCCTCCCTAACCCAAACTCTAATCCCTGAAGCGATGTGAAAGGTTAGTGCTGGTCACAGATTCACAGTTCTGTGCCTGCACACTAGTAAACACTGTTTTTAAAAAAGCCTGAAAGGACAGTTCTTCATTGTCGTGCCACTTTCGCTAGAACACCAGCCTGCTGAAGGCATTATACCTGTTCATCACAAGTTTAGCACACAATAAAATATATACACTTCAGAAAAAAACAAGCCTAGAAAAAATAATGATACAACTCACCTGAAGAAATACAGAATATAATGGCAGAAACCGTGCGAAGAGATCAGTTTGGGGTGTGCATCAGGTGAAAAGTTAGTGAGTCAGGCATTGCAATGCCAATAAAAATGCCTAGTAGTGTGCAGTTTTACACCTTTGTCTCAGTTTATTATATTATCATTTAAATACCAATATAATTTTATCATGCAACTCACTCTGCTTTTTAAGGGGGAAGGGTGGGGAAATGACTAAATAAAACTATATTCTCCTTCAATTTGCAGAACGGTGTGATAAAATTCATCTACTTCCCTTTCCAGTCTTAGCTCCAAGAGATAAAGACCTTAATGCCCTGAGTTAGAATGGTAACATCATAAAATCTGCCAACGGACCAACAGAAGAGAGAAGGCCTTGAGCGGAGGAGGAGGAATTGCTGGGCAATTTTAAAGAGAAGGTTAGCTGAGCAACTGCAACAAAAGAAATGCTGGAGTGAAAGAGAGCTGAGAAAACAAGAGGAAAGAGAACAAACATAGCAGAGAACCAGCAGCAAAGGCAGCTTCAAAGAGCACCTCTGATACCATTCGCCTGCAACCAGGATGGCAGAGGCAAAGCTCAGTGGATGTCAACCATGCTGGTTTCAATCTGAGGTTTCAGCATGTAAGAACACCTCTTCACCCCAGAAGTGGCTCTAACAAATCCATAGGAGATGAATGGAAAAGATCGCGTGCTTTAACTGAAATCTAAACTAAGGTTTAGAATTCTTAATTCAATTTCAAAACAATACAGATGATATTACTACTAACCTGCACTAAAATGTAGTGCCTATAGTGTAGTGTTACAAAATAATTTTAAAATCCTTGGTAGTTGATTATTTGTATGTATTGACCTGATCAAAGTCAACCATGGAAGCCACCAAAAAGGCCCAAATAAACTGCACTGAGCATTCTAAAGGAATAACGAGATAGAAATACACAAGCAGACACTCCAAGACCAAATTTAGAAAAGGGAGCTTAACTCAGTAATAGAGCCCAAGCTTTGCATGCCTACAGTTTCAAATTTACTCCCTCATATTTCCAGTTAAAATTGCTCTCAAGAGCCTGGAAGAAGGCCACTGCTAGTCATGTGATGGGCTGGATAAACCAAGCTCCAAATAAGGGAAGTTCATACAAGTCAATAGTCAGTCGGGTTCTGTTGTTAATAATATTGTTAGGTTTTAGGGCATTTCAATGTTGTACTTTGTATTGTATTATCAATTTATCTGTAAGACACCTTGAGTGCCATTTTTCAGTAGAAAGGCAGGGTATAAAACAAATATAGTCCTAGCCACTTTGGGTTCCTCTCAGGAGGAAAACAGGTGGGATATAAATGTAATGTTAGTAATAGAATAGCCTTACCAACAGGTTGTCCAGCAGATGTTTGGGACTTCATCTCCCATCAGGCCCCACCATGCATGGTGTTATGGTCAAAAACATCTGGAGAACACCAAGTTCCAGAAGGCTAACAACAGACCATCACCACTGTAAGAAAGGTTGCTATTTCTTTACCCTGACCCAAGGTCAGGTATTTTCACCACTTGGCTAACCAAGAGACTCAAGAGGTCATTTTACAGTGTCTGGTATGGGCAGCCAAGTTACAGGAGCAGCAGCCCCTATTCAACATCAGCACTGATCTTACACTACCTGTGAAATCTCCCACTGTAGTCATCCAGGTCTCCAACTTCCCCATGTTTTCTCATTCCCCTAAAACAAAGGGTAATTGCAGGGCACACTGGGCAACAGACACTGCAGGCAGGAGGTGGCACTCTCTCCTTGGATGGTCGTCGCAGGGTGGCTAGCTGGCAAAACCCCCTGGATTGTGTTTACAGGAAGCCCAAACTGGTGCTTCCTGTCTTTGTGTTACATTAGTGGTTTGAAGGTGTGAGGAAATGCCTCCCTCGTCATTGCAAGAAGATATCTGCCATTCTGTATGATTTGAGGAAATTCTGTTACACATTCCAGATCCTTGATATGATGCAGTAGTTACATCACAAGGAAACCTGGTTCCACAGAGAAAATGGTATTGTTGGTCCCAGCTCTATAAATGCGGCCTAAAGCCCAGTGCAAAACTTGTTCATTATGTTGTGCTTTGGATTTGGCCTACCAACAAACAAAGATGAAGCATCCTGTCAAAACTGCTCTTTACTTGATATTGGGAGAGAAGCAATTGTGGAGCCAGAAGCTGGCTATTTGTCCCAAATCTCCCTTAATGTTTGTCTTTGGGATATATATAGCCAGAAGGTTAATGGAAAAGAGAAACAGCAGTGAAAAAGATGGGACACAAATCCGAAAGTACTGCATTATTACTTGTTTTATTGATGTATTGATGATTTTAGCACCGTCATTATTTGTTTTTCGGCGCCAGGCCAAGACCTTTTTATTTAAACAATATTTTAACAACTTTTAATATTATTTATTGGTTTTAATTCTACAGCCAGGGTGAATCTAGATTTTATATATACTATTTATATGCTTTGTTTATTTATTGTATGGAAGCCGTCCTGAGGCTTATGCGAATGGGACGGCATACAAAAACTCCAAATAAATAAATAAAATTCATTGCATTTTTTTGTAAATGACCCAGACAGCCCTACAGGATATATGGCAGAATATAAATGTAAGGAATACATAATTAAATAAATAAGTAAAAAGTAGATGAAGCTTGGCTGGGGTAGAAAAAGAATGCTTCTTATTACTTTGTTCAATCTCATGAGTCTTTTCACTGTGATCACCACTATTCAGCTCTCATCAGCACAGCTCCTCTGCACCACCGAAATCACATCTATACGTACCAGGAAGAAAAATCACGAACACAGAAGGTAACCACTTGGCATGGTGACACAAGATTGAGAAGAGACCCATAGCTTGGGCACTGAGGCTACAAGACATCACCAGATCTCTTTGTATAAGGAAAAATGATAGAAAAAATCAACTGAAAGCCAAATTATTGGATGCAGGTGGCTAGGAACCTTAAGAGTGATATGTGTTCAAGAAATGTGATGCTGCCTCCTACAACTTAGATGCATTTTCTACTGCCCATTTCATGATTTGACTATGCTTTTGTGATTGTGGCTCCCAATTTAGTTCCAGTTACAAAAGCCAACCATCTGGAATTTCTAGATGGAAAGTACACCTTCTCAGGCATACGTGTCATCTGTATATGAAGCATATAACCCGCCACTTGAGGCTTTTGCTTCTGGCTTCTTTGCAGGATTAAGATGTGAGTCCTTTACATATGTTTACTCCACTCTCCAATCCCAAGGATTTTCTTTCTCTACCTTTCTGTATGTTCCATTACACAATCACGAGCAGCATAGCAGAAGTACAAAAACATACATTTCATTCTCATTCATTACTGCATTTTAAGATTATAATGCTCTATCCTTGTTCTAAAAAAAAAAGGTGACAGAAATGCTTGGAAAACAAAAAGAAAGACTCTAGACATCATGTAAAGCACCCACAAATCATTGTTAGTGAGAAATCATGAGTGCACAACAATGAGAAGCCCACGACAAACGTCAGATGTACATTCTGATGCTCCTTTGTTCTTGCACGTATGGGAAAATGCTTCTGTGGACTGATCTCCTTTGATGAGCTGTGACATATTTTTATTTTCTCATTTGTTTTTTACAATTTTATTCTGAGGGCCACCTTGACAGGCAATGGTAAGATGTAACTGGTATTTCCAACCAGCTGTTTACAAAAGTTGAACAGGGCTGTCAAAGATAGTCACTTTGAAGGGCATTCATTCAAAGGGTTGTCAGAGAGCCAGTGCGGTGTAGTGGTTAAGAATGCAGGACTGGGACTCAGAAGACCTGGGTTCTAGTCCCCACTCAGTCATGGGTCAGCCAGTCACAAACTGTTAGAACAACCTACTTCACAGGGTTGTTGCTGTGGGGATAAGACCGAGAGCAGGAGGAGGAGAATGATGTAAGCTGCTTTGAGGTCTTTGGAAGAAAGGGCTAGGGAATGAATGAATGCATGCATGCATGCATGCATGCATCGGGAATGGCACATAACAGTAAGAACCAACCAGCCAATTAGCAACTTGCAACTAGCCCAGTGATTTTTTTTTAGTTCTCTCCAAGCAAACAACCATACATGTTGGCTTCCAGGCTATTACCACAA